GGGTCAATTCACTGGATTGCAAGGTCACTTTGAACCACAAGGTCAGCAGTTCAAGCTCACCAGATGCTCCTTGGAAACCCTGTACAGAATTGCTATGGACCAGCACTGACTCTATGGCACTTTAACAAGGTGATGGCTGGAGCTACAGTTGCCTTGGCAACCCACCCTGCTATGTAGGGTTGCTAGGAGTCAGAATCAACCGGACAGAACCTAATGTCAGTAAGTGGGATGTACTGGTTTGATGTTGTAGAGTAAGTACTGGACTATGAACCACAAGATTGGTGGTTCAAAACCACCAGCTTCTCCTCAGAAATCCTGCATATGGGTCACTATGAGTGGAACTCAACACTTTACAACAATCAGTAAGTTAGAGTACCAGTATGGAGTGTTAAGTGCTGGAGTGTAAGTGCTGAACTGCTAACCTCAGGGTTGCTGGTTCAAACCCACAAGCTGTTCCTCGGAACCCCTATACAGGGTTGCTGTGAGTTGGAACAGACTCGACAGCACTTAACAATAATAATCAGTAAGTTGGAGTCCTGGTGTGGGACTGTAGTTTTAGCACTGGATGGCCACCAGCCGTTCCTTGGAAACTATACAATGGCTCTATGATTCAGCACCAACTCGACAACACTTAACAGTAAGGATCAGAAAGGCTGGAATTCTTCAAGTGCTACCTTTGTCCTTTCTCACAGACACAGGTTGGGAGTCAGAGGAAGTGCTCTCTAGCCAATTTAGACACCAAAAACAGCAGTCACAAATCAGTAGAAAAAAATAACTTCTTTTTATTTACAAGAAGAAAAAAAATCCAAATATTGGATGCTGTAAACAAAATTCACAATCTTCCCTCTAGCACTGATTCAAACATGTCAGTTTTTAAGTCTCTTTTCCATCAACTCCTTTTCTGCCTGTGACTAGTCTATAGTAAAAATAGTCCAAGAGTGACCCAGGTGTAGCTTGCTGCAATAGGACACCTCAAAGTAGGTAATAGTTATAGACAGGTTGGAGGGAGAGACAGCCGGGTGGGCAAAGCTTCCTCCATTTTGCAAGGCTTTGCAGCAAGTCTGACCATGGTATCTTGACATCTTCAGACTGTATTTTTACCATTGACTTTGTTAGCAAGCTATTATTACAACAAAATATTACATAGAGATTCTGTCTTAGAACTGAAAAGCTATGCTAAAAGAAACCTTATGGAAAGATTATATAGAAATAGGTGCTATATATGAAATCACTTTTTTTTTTGGCATTTTGGTTTCATCTTCAACATTAACAAAAAGTTTATTTTTGAAAGGCTGACAGCTTTCAAAATAATACATTTCATTTACAAAATAGTTCACAATATTCATATAACAAGCATTGCATTGAAAACCTTATGCACAGTAAAACAACCAACAATAAGCAAACAGAATAGATGATATAAAACAGTATATTGTCTTTAATTTCATTTCCTTTTTGACTTGGCTTACAGAGATTCTTCCATCTTTGTTTCTGTTTTGTTTTTTTAAGCCACATTAAAATAGTCCACCCTGGTACCAAAGTGAGCAGATACTTCATCCCATCTCTAAAAGGGAAAAGTCCATTTCGTTGAAGAATCTCGAGGCAGCTGATTTTACCCCAAGTGAAGTAAACTTTCCAAGAGGGCATTATCACAGGTTAAGTGTTCTCTGACACGCCAGACTGGACAGGTGAGAAGAGCCTCCAGAAGATAAAACGTTTCCTGTTTTAAAATAACAGCACCACAGCAAACCAAACCCACTCACAAGGTGTCAATTCGGATGCATAGCATTCTTTTAGAACAGAGTAGAACTGCCCCATTCAATTTCCAAGCCTGTGAGTCTTTATGGAGGCATCCTTCTCCCTGGAAGCGGCTAGTGGGTTTGAACTGCCAACCTCTGGTTAGCAGCCAAGACTTTTCTGCACCACTAGGGCTCCTTAGTAACATCATACTAGGCCAGAAAAACACAAAAGCAAGCAAATCACAGGCACTAATTGGGAGTTGAGAGCTCTTTTCTCTGACCGACACACATCGCTCTCTCTCACCAGACAATCAAATTTTTAGGTCACACAGCCACAAAAACAGACATATACTCCACTATTTGTTCAACTACATATGCACAAGACTATGGTACATACACAAGAGAAATAAATTATACTGATCTTAAAGTAAATGCTGAAAATTATCCGAATACAGGCTGTTCTATATGACTGCCTGGTGCTGGCACTTAAACTATGAAACCAACACCGGAGTAAGCAAGAAAAGAACATAAATATTTAAGAAAATAGATGAAAAATATATTTTAAAATAAGGCCCCTCCACATTAACACCTGTGCCATAAATAACAGGAGGTTGTTGCTATGGAAGAGCTAGAGGAGACCTTCTGACTCTTTTCCTAATAGTGGGCAACTCAAGAGTTGGGATGAAAAGCAAAAACCAGGTCAGTGGCACCTGTGTTCCTGGGCCTTCTCTTAGTTTTCTATTAGAAAACTTCCAAACAGCTAAGCGGGCAGAGTTCTGGCTTCTGACAGGTGAGTGTCAGATTTAATCTGCAAATAATGTTTCCTAGGAATTCATAATTAACTTTTCAAACCCAGGGCTGAAGTGAGGGAGACTGAGCCAACAGGGGCTCGGCAGAGTTCCTTAGGAAACAGTGAGAGGCAGTGCAGTAGCTGTTACAACTCTGACAGGATTCATAGGGAAGCTGAGAAGCCAAACTCATTAGCTTCCTATTAAAGTGTCAAAGAAGCACAAGTAGACCGGATAGATTAACCTAGCAGTATGCATCTGACATGTCCAAATAATATAGAAACAAAAGTATTACACTGCCAATATTTTTGTTGTTGTTAAGTGCCTTCGATTCGGGTCAACCCTGTATAGGATTTCCAAGGAGTGGCTGGTGGGTTTGAACCGCTGACCTTTCAGTTAGCAGTCTAGTAATTATCCTATAGTGCCACACCAGGACTCCACACTGCCAATAGAACGATGTTATTATATGCCCTAATCCCTCTTTAACTACAAAAAAACTATTACAGTTGGATCTTCTGAGGAATTATCAAAGTAAATATTCAGCCACGATGGTAGGTGGGGGTGTTTCACCATACAAAGGGAAGGCTAGTTTAGTTTTTAACAAATGCTTCAAGGAATTAAATGCTGGGGGAAGGGGTGATTTTAGGATTAGCTGTCACTGAACTGAAATAGTAAAGTCAGTTCATCTCACAAAGTTATAACTGGCCTCTTAGGACAGAAAATAAAGTTGGATTTTCTTTAATGCAAAGTGACTTAATTTAAAGTACAGTACTAAATATTTAAATGCAGTGTGACAACCAGATCAAAGATATTTCATCTTGGCATGAATTTATAAAATTTTATATATAATATACATTTTATATATAAATTTTATGCAATTGTGCAAATACTCTTTAAAAAGGGTCATTTCACATTTTTTAAATTCTAGTGGTCCTGGAATGCAGAATGCATTCATTTAAAAATTCATTTAAATACTAGTAAGTAGTGTTCAGATCACCAGAAAAAATATATGTTTTAGCAGTCAGGGATTTAAATAGCCTATCATTGATCCATGGTCCACTGGATTATATACCATGGAGGTACAAAAGTATTTAAAAAAAAAAAAAAAAAAAAAAAAAAAGGTCCAACCTGTCAAAAATGACAGTTCAGTATAGAAAAGAGTGCTCTGTCAAACAAATATTCTCCCACTTGTGGAATTCTATGGCTCACAGAAGAAAAGGGGGGGAGGGGGAGAACCTCACTAAAAATGTATACTCCCTGTTCTTCCTATGAAATATATTACTTGTTTCCTTCTTTATTTACTTAATATTTTAGATGCCCATGTCTCACATCATCCTGTTGAAAACATGAAATCACACAGTATTTAAACATCTCTTATTTGCTACATTATTCTAGACCATAGTTAATGTATGGATGTATATATACATATACTAAATATGTATACATACATATTAATATACACACACATACACATGTACCTATGATAATATCACACCAACAATATTAACTTTATACAAGTATTTGCCAAGAAAAAAATAGGGCATTTCCTCCACCATTCACAAGCTTATGTGTTTTTTCTTCTTGGGTCCCTGATAAAATAAAATAATCATTAAACCATAAAATATTTTTTCCATTTCAAATTTTCAGAAGGCAACAGGCACTTTGATGTACATTGGTTTGTAACAAATATAGTAACTCTTTATATATTCTATTATATCTCTTCTACTTGGGTATTTTTTCTGTTAAATCTTTGGTCCTTGAGCACTTTCTTTGCTACAGCTGTTTTTGCTTGCATTTTCACATTTTAAAAATGCAAGTTATGCAGGCAGCTGGAAATAATGGATTGTGTCATCATAAGTTCTGCTGTTTGTTAGAACTTCACCAAGCTACTACTGTTTATTTGGAGCAAGCTGTTTCCGTAGCAAATAGGATCATTCCATAGAAAGAACTTGCTAGAAGCCCCAGACAGAGAGCTCACAGTTGGAGTTCCCCTTCTTCCAAAACTGTTACTATCTGAACTCCTGAATTGGTAAATTACATAGTGTAAGACCTTTTTTCTGTTTTTTCCCTTTTGTAAATTACACTTTAAAAGAAACTTTCATGCTCCACACAGTATGGCAAAGCTATGGGAGCAGGTACTGGCTGCAAACCCATATTGTCATCGAGCAATTTTTTTCTTGTTATTTTAGGATAACCTGCTTGCTTTTAATAACAGGTTTCTTGTATTCCAAGATAGAATCCAATTGGGCAAGAGGATGGGGTGGGAGGGTTGGGGTGTGGAGGGGGGTTATTCCTAGATCATGCTCCCACTCCTACTAAAAAGTCCACAATTTTTGCAAACCTTAAAATCAGGAGCAGATAATCACTGCAAAAAAATACACCCCTAATCAGGGCTAGGTCACTCTTTTGTTGTTTTTTCCATTTTTCCCCTATCTTGTCTGAAATGGCTTCCCCACTGGGCATTTTTAAATGATCCTTAATTACAGGGTAGCCAAGTAGAGTATGTCTGTTGCTGGCACGTGAATACTGGCTGAACCTGTGCAATATAATAATTGCTAAAGTTGGCATCTGCCACATAGGGGGCTGGCTGGTAATAGCAAGTGACATTGGCCACATTAGGTATGACATTTTGCTCAGCTAGCACTCGGATAGCCAGCATTGTGATGAGGTTTAAAGTCTGTCTTCTTTCATGTCCCATCAGACACACTGTACTTTCATTCACCACTTCATGAAGGGTCATGAGATATTCATACTTGCGATCTTCCAATCCCACAAAATGGTTCTGCAAATAGGACTCTAGTTTTCTCCGCTGCTCTCCAATGTCTGAGAAGTCGATGAAAAACCTGGAACACATATACCTCTGGAGGGTTTTGATCTCATCCGAGGCAGGTCTAAAGCCCCTCACTAAGAGGTTACAGTACTTAAGCAGGCCTCCCCCTCTTATTTCCTCGGGATTTCTGGTGGCAATGATCTTGTTACAAAGGTGATCAAAAGCTTCATGGAAATCCCCGTAGACGCTTTCACCAATTATAGTAGGGTGAAATGTTTCAGTCATTGGGTTCTCTGAACAGTCATAAAAGAGGAGAAGAGAGTCTAATTTGATTTGAAAAGAATCTACACTGAATTCAAACTGCCTCCGGAGAGAATCCACAAATTTCAGTTCCACATTTTTGCCACTGTTGTTTGACAGGGAGATAAGACTCCATCGGTCAGAGTCATTGCACACTTTAACCATTTTCTGCACATAAGCTTCCTACAATTTAAAAGACAAAACAAGATTATGAGCATAACTGAAAAATAAATAAATGCATCCTCTACACAGGTCAGAATTATTTTGCTATTTCCCGTTTTGTTTTGCTAAGTTTCAGCAAAACACTACCTACTGACTTAAATAGTCTTCTCAAAACAGAAAAAAAAAAAATACATTTAACGAGTAGTTTTACTGTCTGGGAAAGAGACAAGAAGTAATAGTTTGAGGCTTTTGGCAGACATAGCACAGTACTAGGAGATTCTGTTGTCATGTCTGATTTTTTTTTAAAAGTTATTTCTTGACAGGGTTCTAACAGGCACGACATTCACACACTATTCAAAAGACACAGAAGGGTCTGGTGAAGTTAGATGGCTTCTCACCACTTTTCCCCTCCTCCTGACGCAAGTATATCACCAGTCCTTCCTGAAGCATTAACTGCAGTTACACACAAATATTAAACATTCTGGAAGGTTGACTCCTCAGACAATTTAAAGTAATTATTCACGATGGGGGCCAGGGGTGAGCACCAGAGCCTTAGCAGAGTAACCAGCTAGGGACCCCACTAACAGAGGTAGTCAGCTGAATGCAGCTATGGACTCTACTCGTGTTTTCCAATACAATAATAAACTTATTGACTCGGTTCTGTTTCCGGCTTCTGTTTCCCCAAAGACTAGATCATAAGATGACTCAAAAGAATTATTAACATCATTTCATTCTTCCACGTATCAGAACCATTCTGGACAGTAGTCATGGCAGGAATGCTGAGAGTTAAAAAAAAATCAGGAGGAAGAGAAGGGAGGTCGGCGCGGTAGCAGGAGGAGAGTCGTGGCTTCGAAGCACCTAGTAAACTAGAACACACGTCGCCCTTCACGCATCTTACCGTACTCATAAAAACACACAAGAAAAGAAATGAATGCGCCCAAAATCATCATGGCGCGGCCTCAAACGGAAACCCACCCCCACCCCACCCCCACCCACTTCGAGCCGCCGCACCAGGGCCGGCTCAGACCCAAGCCCCTCTCGGGCTCGCTTTACCTTGAGTGTGAGTGCGGTGATCTTCTCCTTGTTGACCCCTTCGGGTAAGAAGTCCAAGAGGCAGTCCAGCACGACGTCCTTCACAGTCTGAAACTCCTCTTCCCCGCGAAGGTCGGCGCAGAAGATGAGGTCCAGGTCCTTGTAGCCCAGGCCGCTGTCCTGGTGCAGGACGTGGCTGGCGGCGGAGCCGTTGAGACGCACGTCGCGGACCCCGATGCGCTTCTCGGCCAGGCGTCGCCTCACCACCTTCACGATCAGGCTGGGCTGCAGCTCGAGCGTGGGGAAATTGCCGCGGCCGTGGATCGGGATGGTCTCGCTCAAGATGCCGTCCAGTCGTTGCACTTGCTCCCAATTCAGCACGTTGCAGTGCGCCGTGAGGCTTTCACAGTAGTCCAAGCAATGCCCGTCGAAGTCGCCGCCACCACCACCGCTGCTTAAGTCGCCGCCCAGGGGGATATAGGAGCTGCCGGCTAACTCGTCCTGGGCCATGGCAAAGTACCCTTCGCCCTCTGCCATGAAGTGCACGTTGAACGCAACTTGGCCCTGCTCAGTCCTAAAAGGAAAGGGGGTGGGGGAAGTGTGGTATAAGTACGCGCCAAGGCGAAAGGCAGGGGCCAGCAGAGGTAAGAACGCGCCCCCTCCACAATCGCCCCATGGCCCGGGAACTCCTTTGAGATGCTCCCTTCCCATGCCCCCGCCAACCCCAGCCGCGCGCTCCGCGACCCGCAGAGCAGCCCCGAACCAAAAGTATCGCTGATGCATCTGAAAAGGGCAGGCGGGAATCCGGTCTGTGTCTCCTGCAGGCGGCCGCCCCTTCTAGGAAAGCAGAGCGGAGGAACTGAGAAGCCGCAACACTTACAGGAGCGACTAGCACGCTCCAGACAGCGGTGAAGGACTTCGTTCTTTCAAGATGCTCGAAGACTGGGGTGGCTACTCCCGCCCCTTGCCCCCACCCACACTGCTGCCGCCCCAGTTGCGGTGGTCCCGGAGGTGGCGACTCGCCGTTGCCGCCACACACGCTTCTGTCTCTAGAGCTTTAGCGGTGTGTCAGGGAAATGTCCTCAGTACTTTTTTATACTGGGTTTCTCCGCGCTTCCGGGCCCAGGCGCTGCGCGCTCGCCACACCCTCCTCATCTGCATACGGCACCGCCCCTCTATGGAGCGTGCGTCAGTTGACTGAGTGGGGTTTCTCAACTAGTCGGGTTTGGTCAGGTTTTTATGTGTACGTATATAGTGTGTATATATGTATGCGCATATTTATGTTTATATGTAATTCATATTTGGTCCCTCCCCTGCCTTTCTTTTTGCCCCTACGAAAAGGTACACTTAAAAAGCTGCTCAATTTACAAGAAGCCAAACTGGATCTGACTAAAATCGTAGAACAGCAAAAAGTTCGGTAAAAAGAATTCGCTGGGGAGTGCGTCATTACATCTTAATGGGCGGGCTTCGGGTCTTCCTCATGACTTCCGTCTTTGGTTAGGTATGTGTATACAGCTAAATCATTTACTCCACTCAAGCCCGGCTTCAGCGTGGACTAACTAGTCAACTTGTCCACGCACATCAGTTGTCACCAGGGAGAGGGGAAGGGCTCTCCAATAACTCAGTTTCGATTCTCCAAGACTGAGGAAATGCCCAGGAACGCAGAACCAGCCTGAGAGGGCGCGGGGGGAGGTGCCCCCTGCTAGCATTTGGCTCCTGCGCACGAGCGGCTCGGGTAGGCTGGGTGTACGGCGCAGGCTGGTGCGCGTCACCCTGTGGACGCCTAGGCCTGTCGGAAGACCTGGCAGGCGAATGGCCAATCGCTGAGGACAGGGCGGGCCTGAGGGCAGCAGAGGGAGCGCGCCTTTTCTAGCCTGAGGTCACGGAGTTTAGGAAGGGCCCGGTGCGGAGTTGGGCGCACCCAGTAGTGTTCTCTAATGGAGGACCTCAGGAGGCAAGGCACATTTGTCCAAGCCCACTAAAGTTTTCCAATTAAAAAATATATATACATTAAATTTGACTTTAAAAATTAACATGAGGTCATTTTGGTTTCCCATGAAAAGAAAAAGTACGAGCTTGCAGAATAACTAGACTTTCTCTTTCCCAGGTTCGGTTGCTTCACTAGGCCTGTACAGTTTAACGAGTAGAATGGTCTTCACCAGTGCTCCCGCACCACCGTTTTTTACTAGAAAGTACCCCCTCCCCCGCCCTTTGGCCTTCTCTTTTGGTTGCTCTCTGCAAACTAACCCAGAATAGCTTTCTTTCACTAAGACGCTGCCGGAGGCTGAGGTGGGGGCTAAGAGGAGAGCGCAAAAGAGCTGAATGCATATGCCTTCCCCAGGCTCCTGCGCAACCCCAGCCACTAAGCTTGGCAGGAAGAACTGTCTGCCCCCGTTTGAACTGGGGGAGCCTTGGCCTCCCCAAGAAAGCTGCGTGGCTCCTTGAGTGGGGGGGTGGGGGGGTGGCACCCGCTGTGTTTCCAGCTGCAGGACAACGCCGCCCTCTGCCGGTGCCCGACGAAGCTGCCATCCAAAGCGAAGAAACTCCACAGGACCTTCATAAGGAGACCCTCAGTTCCAGTCCAGCACTGTGGGGAGTAGGGAAAGGGGACACAGGACAACCACTCAACTCTCATTGTCTACCTTACATCACCCCCATGTTATTCGCCTCCATCCAACAACCCATGTACATGCATCCACCCATCGGTCTTATCCAAGCATTTATAAAACAAACAAACAAGATTATTTGATCTTTGATCCCCTCTTATGGTGTGGCACTACAGGATCAGCATTGGACTATAAAACACAAGGTTGACAGTTCAAATCCATCAGCTGCTCCTAGGAAACCCTATACAGGGTCGCTATGAGACTGAACTGACTTGACCACACTTAACAAGCATTATGTGTGAGGCACCAAGCTAACTGCTATCTATTGAAGAATGACTAAATGTCACAGAGCATAGTAGACTGATAAATAACTATAATTCAATTGTAACTGTTTTACAAGAGAAGTATGTTCCAGATAGAGGAGGTGGTAAACTAACTAGGGTATCTGTGGTCTGGGAATGAAACCCAGAAGAAAGATGTCATCTGAGCTGCATGATAAACTTCAAAAGTTGAGAAAGGAGAAGAAGGGCATTATAGGCAAAGGGAAGAGTGTAGAATTCGAGAATGTTCGAGGAGGTATGCATTAAAGTGGCAAGAAATTAGGTTGGCATTGTATTGGCGTCAGATTTGTGAGGATTCCAGGAACTCATTGAGAAATTTAGGACTTCACTTGGCTTTACTGTTTACTCTTAATACCTCATTTAATCTTCAATTCAAGAAAAAGGTATTACTCATCATAGGAATTTGGAAACAGGAAGTAAAAGGTAAAGAGATTTACCCAAGGCTCATAGTGAGTAGTGGAGCCAGGTCTTGAACCCAACCCATTTGTTTAAGAATGAGGTTTAGCTCTCATTGGCAGAGTTGCAATGTCTGCAACTTCTTAGTGCCTTCTAGATGGAAAGGCAGCGCACCTGTAGAAAGTAAAAAACAAAAAAAAAAAAGGAAAGAAGAAGAGACCTGTTTCAAAAAAATGTTTCAAAGGTCACTATGAGTTCTGCCACTTCTTAAAACAATGTGTTAGATGTTGTTGTTGTTGTTGCTGTTGTTGGGTGCCATCGAGTCAGTACCGACCCATAGCGACCTTATGCATAGCAGAACAAAATACTGCCCGATGCTGGGCCAACCTCACTACTGTTGCCACACTTGAATCCATGCATGCTGCCACTTGATCAATCCATCTTGCTGGGGGTCTTCCTCTTTTTCTCTGACTCTTCACCTTACCAAACATGATAACCTTCTCCAGTGACTGGTCTCTCCTGACAATATGTCCTAATTATGAGAGACCGAGTTTGGTTTGGCCATCCTGGCCTCCAAGGAGCATTCTGGCTGTACTTCTTCAAACACAGATCAATTGGTTCTTTTGGCAGCCCATGGCACTTTCAATATTCTCCTCTAACACCATAACTCAAAAGTATCAATTCGTTTACAGTCTTCCTTATTTACTTTCCAGCTTTCTCATGCATATGAGGTTATTTAAATATAATGGCTTGGGTTAGGCACACTTTAGTCCTCAAGCTGACATCTTTGCTCTCCAATACTTTAAAAAGGTCTTGTGAAGCAGATTTGCCTAATGCAATACGTCATCTGATTTCTTGACTGCTGCTTCCATGAGTGTTGATAGTTGATCCAAGAAGAATGAAGTCCTTCAATCTTATCTCTGTTGATAAGAATGTTGTTTATTGGTCCAATGGTGAGGATTTTTGTTTTCTTTACAATGAGATGTCATCCATATCGAAGGCTGTGCTCTTTGATCGTCATCAGTAAATGTTTTAAGTCCTCTTCACTTTCAGCAAACAAGTTTGTATCATCTGCATATCACAGGTTGTTAATGAGTCTTCCTCCAATCCTGATGTCACATTTTTCCTCATATAACACAGCCTCTTGGATTATTTGCTCAGCATACAGGTTGAATAAGTATGGTGAAAGAACACAACCTTGTCGCACACCTTTTTTTTAATTTTAAAACATTCGGTGTTCCCATGTTCTGTTCGAAAAACTGCCTCTTGGTTCAGGTACAGATTCCTCATGAGCACAATTAAGTGTTCTGGAATACTCATACTTCTCAATCTATCCATAGCATGTCATGATCCACACAATCGATCGAAAGCCTTTGCATAGTCAATAAAGCATAGGTAAACATCTTTCTGATATTCTCTGCTTTCAGCCAAGATCCATCGGACATCAGCAATGATATCCCTCATTGCATTCGCGTCATCATAGTCAACTCTACTTTGAGGAGGCAGCTCTTCCCCAGTCACATTTTGAGTGCCTTCCAACCTGAGGGGCTCAGTTTCCGGCACTATGTCTGACAGTGTTTCTCTGCTATTCATAAGGTTTTCAGTGATTAAATATTCAGAAGTAGTTCGTCACTCCTTCTTACTTGTCTGTTTTCATCTGGAGTTTATCTGAAACCTGTCCACCATGGGTGACCCTGCTGGTTTTTAAAATACCGGTGGCTTAGCTTTCAGAATTACAGCAACTCACAGTGGTGGCATGTATTAGATACTCAGCAGTAAAGAAAAGGGTGTAGCCCTGTTGCCATTATTTTAGGGATAATGGTAGTTCTGTGGGAACATTTCCACCTTCCACTCAGGATACTTAGGTTTGATTCTTAGCTAATGCACAACCACCACCTGTCATCCCTCAGTGGACACATGTGTTGCTATGAAGTTGAACAGGTTTCAGCAGAACTTCCAGACTAAAATGAACTAGGAAAAAGGCCTGTTATCTACTTCTAAAAATCAACCCATGGAAATCCTATGGATTACATCAATCCTCAACTGATCATGGAAATAACCCTGGTGTGGCACTGTGGGTGAGTGTGCCAGACGCAAAGCCATTTGAACTGCAGGGTCGGCGGTTCAAGTTCACCAGCTGCTCCTTGGAAACCCTATACAGGGTCACTATGGGTTGGAACCGACTCAAAGGCACTTAACAACAACAACAACAACAAGCATTGCTTCCTGCAGTTTTTCCTAGGGTCAGTATGAGTCAGCGTGACTCAAGGGCAGCTAACAACAGCAACAACAACAACAATCATTATTTTGTTCTTAATTTTAAACCCTCTTAGATAATAAACAAAAAAACCAGAAGCTCTTCTGAGTTGATAAGCATTGCTGCTCAATGCATACCCAGGGATTTAGTCCAGTGAAGCTAAAGGAATCTGCATTATAGCAA